GGGGCGGGGGGTGAGGCTGGGGGATCGGGTGTTGACGATGGGGAGTGGGGAGGAGGGGGACAGACGGACGCTGCTCCCTCACGATCTCCTGCACACCTCTGCGACCTTGACCATCCCCACACACAGTTCGCCAGAGCCGCCGGCGCCACCGTCATCGCCACAACCTCCTTCGACGCAAAAGCCCCGCGCCTCCCGCCCTCAGCACCGACCACGTCCTCGACTACCGCACGACGCCCTCCTGGGGCGGCGTCACCACCTTCAAGCAGTCCCTCGCCACCGTCAAGGCTGGCGGGGCTGGTCTCGCTCGTTGGGTTTCACGGCGGCCCCCCGTGGCCGAGGGAGACGACGACGACGAGCTAAGGCTACTCGAAGGATGTGAAGCCGGCGGCTGATGAGAGGGTGTTTGGGTTTGGAGTAGCGAGGGAGGCGTTTGAATATACGGATCAGGGGCATTTTGGAAATATTTGCGTGAGGTGCAGTGACTAAAAGTTGGAGAGTTCTCTGGTTGGCGGTAAAGACGTGGATGGGATAATAGGTGAGTGGGTGAGTTAGGAGCGAGTTAATCATGTGAATGTCTCACGACGGGCGCTGCCTTTACCTTGGCACGAAGCAGAACGATGCAATCGCCCCGATCGAATACAAGTTTAACAAATATTCCGATACCAACGACAAACACGGATTGCACCTCTGCTTGTCGGACTAATGGTCGGGCTACACCTTGACCGGCCTTCATGTGCTCGTGGGTGGATTCCTGTTTGGTGCTTGGTTCATCTCAAGCCCTTCCGCGGCTGGTGTCATGCATGAGAGTTCATCATTTCACCTTCTCTACTTACCGGGAGACCACGGCGTGATGCTCGAAGATAGTGCGAGAAACAGGTGTATGGCGTCGTCTTTAGGCATCATTTATCAGTTCATGGATGATTGAACGTAGAATCAACGTTCCGAAACGAAGCACTATATCAAGATTAAACCCGGCGAGAGCGGTGAACCCTCCCACCCGGGCTTGTAATGTCTAACAAATCTCGGAAGTCCAGAGAATGGGGGTATGTAGTAGAAGTGGTTGCCTCAATCGAACGGCAGAACAGTTCTCTTTTGCGGCATACCAAGCCACTCAGGCCCTGGAACCAACGTTAAAACAAGCTTTGCATTTTCTGCTCCTTCGCATCATATCACTACCTGCGTGATATAGACTACGTCCACGTAATCATCAAGAAGCTTGGCTCCACTATTTGTTGAGCAGCGGCCGAAAATCGGACCAAGGCCATACTGGACTGAGAATGAGGTTCAGTCACTGCTGAGTCCGAGAAGTATAAAGGCTGGGTTGGGCCGTGCAAATAAAGAAACAGAACGAGGCACTGGCGAAGGCGAAGAGTCTGTGGTGTTCTTCGGAGCTCATATAACTGGGTGCCAGCTGTTGGTGAGCTCAGGAGGTCCCATTGACGCCGACGGAACGATTGATCTGGGAACACTGGCATTCCATACCGAACCGGCCTCACCACATGCTTGAGAAAATAACTTTAATCAACCGAGTAGATTACCGTCTGCGGTGTGTTTGAAGACTTTCCTGGACATGGTCCTCACCGGCATGGTGACTCACCTGCACTCTCCTCAAACTTCTTCGTGCTGTCTCACCCATCGGGCGCTGCCGACTTCGGGAGCATCCGCCTTATCAGAGCCGCAGACACCACCATGTATCAACTTTGCGCAACAAGTGGATCCTGGAACCTGAGACTCGACTGACATCTCCCTATCGGGCCTTCCGGATGGACTGACCCAGCCCTCCAAAAACCCACAGGAGCCGCCTTTTTGCGCAATCTCCATGGGCACAGTCAGCGCTGCGAAGAGAACGCCATGATGGTGTGAGCCACGCGCGCAGGAAAAGCAATGGGAAAAATAGCTCCATGCGGTGCGACCGACCGGTGTCGGACATTCCTCGGTTCGGTGGCATGCCATGTCTCCCCAACCCACCCCCTTAGCTCTGCCTTTGGAATGAGCGTTATATAATAAGCATTCAACCCAGTCACTGTGTTCTCCGGATCGTGCAGTGCATCTCTCATACACACAGCCGAAAAAGAAAGAAGTGAAGCAGCAATGGTCACGAAAATCGTTCTCGAAGAATCCTTGGGCCTTTGGCTCCTCGCCAACGCACGGATGATCAAGGCGGAACGCTGCAAGTTGAAGTTGCTGAAGCCACCGAGCCTGATCACCCCGAAGCCGTAAGTCAATCGTCTTGCAGAAGAAGAGGGGGAAGAAGAGAAAGAAGGAGGTAGCGTGGCCGGCGAGCGGCTGCCTCTTTTTCTTGCGTCTCCGAATCCATGCAGCTGATCATGACATCGACAAGCAGACAATCCTCGGTCCGCCCGTACAAGAACCCCGAGCTCTCCTTCCTCAACCGCACCCTGAGCAACCACAGGAAGGAGCTGATAGCCTGTAAGTAAGCGCGCGCGCACGCCCACGTTCCCGGACCGATAATCCTATTGATGAGCGACCATGTCCGCTGACTGCTTCCTGCGCTCACAGCGTGGAAGGTCAAATAAATTTGCGCGCGAACGGACGGATGAACAAAAAAAAACGCTTGATCGCTATCCCTGCAGGCTGGTCCGTCCAAACGGGTGGTTCAGTTGATCGACGACCATCCAACTTCACTTCGACCCTCTCGCCTCCCCCCTCCCCTGCAAATGATGCACGGACATCGGCTGCGGAACTTTGGCCTTTTCGTCTACACGACAGCAAAGGGGAGGGGTTGGAACAAAACCCTCAAAACTCCTGGACCACCAAAGGAATGCTGTGGAAATCCCGCATGCTTCTCTCCTTTCTCTTAACTACAATCTCCTTTGTCACATCATATCCCAGGGCGTTTGTGCTGGATCGGTTGGGCTCTTCCGGTAATGATAGACACTTTCATGATACCAATAGATAGACTACGGTTCGCAAAAAATAGAGATGTAGAAATTCTTTTCATGTTTAAAAAGATGAGATGATTGGGAGAGAGTGTTTTCCTCCTCCATGTTCTTCCGTCGTTTTCCCGATGGAATAATAGTATATACAGCAGAATCTAAAGGAAAAAACAACAATCCAAAGTCATCTTGATCAGGCCCACCCCGTAGAGAGGAACAAGACAGGATACACTTGTGGAAAAAGATGTTGTGTTTTCTAAAAAATACATACAAAGCGCACCAAATATTTATTGCCAGGGTGAATGCATTGGATATCTAAAGCTCTGCCCTTTCACCCTCCTCCTCCTCTCTTCACAGACCAACCATCGCGCGCGCGCACCAACCGGCCACAGAAAATCCTCCTGTCCCTCTCTCAACTCATCCACTTCCTCACAACGAAATCAAGGTCAACAATAAATCAAATTTACAAGACGAAAGCAGCGGCGGCGGCAGCGAGAGCCATGACGCCGAAGGAGACGAACGAGGTCGACGCGGCACCGGTCCACTGGGACGGGGTAGGCTGAGCCGGGGTGGGGGTGGCGAGCGACGCGGTGGCGTTGCTGGGGGTGCCGGAGCCCTGGCCGGGGAGGTAGCCGTCGCAAGCGTAGCGATCAGCAGAGCAGGTGGCCATGTTGGCGCCGGGCTGGGTGCGGCACATGTTCTCCTGCTCCTCGCAGGTCTTGCCGCCCGAGGCAGTGCCCGAGGGAGCGGGGGCGCTGGCGGTGCCAGAGGACTGGCCGGGGATGTAGCCGTCGCAAGCATAGCGGTCAGCAGAGCAAGTGGCCTGGTTGGCACCGGGCTTGGTGCGGCACATGTTCTCCTGCTCCTCGCAGGTCTGGCCGCCCGAGGCAGTGCCCGAGGGAGCGGGGGCGCTGGCGGTGCCAGAGGACTGGCCGGGGATGTAGCCATCGCAAGCATAGCGATCAGCGGAGCAAGTGGCCTGGTTGGCGCCGGGCTGGGTGCGGCACATGTTCTCCTGCTCCTCGCAGGTCTTGCCGCCCGAGGCAGTGCCCGAGGGAACGGGGGCGCTGGCGGTGCCAGAGGACTGGCCGGGGATGTAGCCATCACAGGCATAGCGGTCAGCAGAGCAAGTGGCCATGTTGGCGCCGGGCTTGGTGCGGCACATGTTCTCCTGCTCCTCGCAGGTCTTGCCAGTGCCGGAGGGGGCGGGCGAGGAGGGAACGCCCGTGGCCGGGTGGGTGCTGCTGGCCGGGCAGTTGGTGACCTCGGGACCGCACGAGGTGATGGTCTGGACGTTGGTGGTGTAGACAGTCTGGGGGCCGTCGGGGTGGCTGCCCTCAACACCGCTGGAGGCGGGGGCAGACGGGGCCGGGCCGCTGGGCACGCCGTAGGCCGGGGCAGAAGGAGCCGACGAGCCCGGGGCGGACTCAGCCGGAGCAGAGGGGACGCCGTAGGCAGGGACAGACTCAGAGGGCACGGCGGCCGTGGTGGCAGCCGGGCCGGAGGGAGCGGCGGTGGCCGGGTGGGAGCGAGCCGGGCAGTTGGTGACCTCGGGACCGCAAGAGGTGATGGTGTCGACCTCGGTCTCGTAGACGGTCTGGTCGGGCTGCGGCATGGCAGAGGTGAGGGCAAGCTGGGCCGCAAGGGCGGAGGCGAGGAACTGGTAACGCATTTTGGCGGTTTGAAGTGAAGTTTTGTTTGGAACGAGTGTGGTTGTTTGTTGATTATGGTCGAAGGAGCGACTGTAGTTGAGCAAGGGAGAGGTGCGGTGCTGGAGAAAAGGACGGATTGCTTGGAGAAAGGGCGCGATATCTATACCCTCGAGGCAAGCCTAAGCCCCGTGCTTCGTATAGACTTTATTGCTTGGTTCGCGTAGGGCTGAAGCTTGTGCGTTGCTATATCCGGGCGGCTTGGCGGAGTAGTGCGTTCGGCTCAGCCTTCTCGTGACCGCTCTCCCCGCCATTACGAACAGCAGATTGCGATTGACAGCATGCGCCGTCGCGGGGCCGTTCCTAGGCTAAGGAATACAACCCAAATGGCTCGCTCGTTACCGCAAGGGGTCGGTTCGCGCTTGGCGTTCGTGAAAGCGGGTAATTGATCGACGCACGTACGAGCTGCCGAAGCCACCGTGGTGGCGTTTCTGCCCCAGGATTCCAGGGGTCTGGAAGCTCTCCTTCCTCAGAGCACGTCAGTGGAATGTCGAGCGCGACGCAGTGCTCACGATGCGCGGCGACGAAGGCCGTCCATGGACAGCGCCAGGACTTGGTGCAGCCGTGGCTGAGCCGTGAGCCGGGCCCGTGCCCGAGGGTTACTTTATGCCGTTCGTATAGCCATCTGGAGCAATCGTTTCAAGGGCAATACGCGATCGGCGCTGGGAGAGACAAGTGGGCGAGGGTACTGCGCAGTACCACCGCACCCGTCGCCTCACCCACCAGCGGCGGCTCAGGCTGGACTTCGGGCGAGTGGCAGAGAAGATGAGAGTCGGCCAGGCCGATCAATCAATATGGCAGCACTGAGCATTGTTCCCCCCCTTTTGCTTGCCGCGGCGTTTGTTCGCTGCGCCGGCTCGTAAAGACGCCCAGGCGGGGAATTGTTCTGGGAAAACGAGTCGATCTGAGCGCACGCACACCCCTCAATCACACGAGCGGGTATTGGTCGGCGACTGGATCCGACGGAGACGCCTTTTCCGCTGGAGGGGATGCTTGTGTTGTGGCGGGAAGCAGGCTCATCTGCGGCTGCTGGATGGCTTGAGCTCCACGCGCGGCGCCTGAACATGTCATGCGTGTTTGAGGAAGAGAGGGGTTTGTCTGTTTCTGGGAGCGCCGCCTCATGGGATCGCGAGGGGGAATTGCACGCTGGACGGGCCATTCGTCGTGGGCAGCGGGCAGGGCCAGGCCGGCTCGGCGGGGACGTCCATCTCCTGGAGCAGGCGGTTCGGACAGACCGGTGTGCGAGATAATGGCTGGAAGGAAGCGTGGGCGTCGTGGTTTCGCAGAGCGTGAGAGGCCGGCGGTGATGATCGCCCGTCGCCAGAGTTGTGCGGTGCCCCTGACGTAATCTATTTTTAGCGCGCCAGGCCCCGCACTATCCACACCCAAGTCCTTGCCGCCGCTTTCCCAGACGCCCCATCTCATTTCCATCGCGAAACTACGCCGCCAGGAAGCCCGCCAGGAAGCCCGCCAGGAAGCCCGCTCTAACACCGGAATGGACAGCCTACCGGTAGAGTTATTTGACCTGGTGCTCATGCGCCTCACCCGCGCAGCACTGCTGTCCTTGGCGCAGACCTGCTGCTGGATCAACCTTGCTGTCGAGCCACACCTCTATGACACCGTAATCATACGAAGTGCCGCTAACCTTCGGGCTTTCCATTCCTCGCTCAGAGCCCAGCCGCGTCGAGCCGGCTTGGTTCGCAATTTCCTCATCAAGCGGGCCAGCGACACTTATCGCACCAGCCACCGCGCTGGCGAGTCTGCGGAGGAGGCCGATTACTGCATGCTTCCTGCTCTCGAGAAGCTCGTGACTCTGTCGATCGAATCGTACTACCTGGACAGCAATGAGTTCAACCATGTTTTTGCCCGCGCTGCTCGAGGGGAGATCCTTACCTGTCTGAAGACTTGTGAGTCCCAGCCATCGCCGGTGCCCAAGCCAGCTTACTGACCAGGCTGATCGCCAAGGCAGGCTGTGCTTTCTAGACGGCAGTGGGAGAAGACACCCTCTCCACCGTTTCGATTCCGTCCTGCTGCATCCAAGCTTGGAAACACTTACCATTTACAATGTCCGCGATGGGTGCAGAGATCATGTCCACTGCCAACAACGATCGACGAAGCTCCGAAATTTGGAGCTGCTGAACTCGGATCTCTCGGTCGACGAGCTGGCAAAGCTGTTGGCCATACCACGGCAGCTGAAGTCCCTGGTCATCCATTCCAAGTCCCAGCAATCGCCAGTTGACCACTGTCCAACAGACTGTAGTGAATATGCCAGTGCGCTACAAGTCGTGGCAGAGTGCTTGGAGACACTGGTCGTCGAGAGAGACTTTGGTTTTTACGGCAATCCGCTGAAGTTGGGCGCCATGACTGCCCTCCGCCACGGCATCGACGACAGCTATCTGTGGCTCGGCACGCTTATGCCGCATCCTGACTGGATAGACGAACCTCTCCTGCGCGAAATCATCCCTCCTACTCTGGAGCACGTGGGCGGATATCTTTGGGCATACGTACCGGATCGAGCAATCGATGAGGCAGTCATCACGAAGGTCCTCGCCACGATGCGAAAAGTGGCTCCGGCCGTGAAGCTGGAACTCTACAGCCCGTACGGTGTGTCGGAGCGGTTCAAAAGAGCTTGCATAGCAGCGAGGTTTCCCATCACTTACACGTACGAGGAGTGCGACGAGAACGAATACGAGTATAACGCTGCTGGCTTTCTCCGCAAGGCCCACTTTCTCTCTCTACCAGTTGGTCCCATCGATTAAGCCGCTACTCCTGTGGCGGGTACACGACGATCTTGTCCAAGTCCGCGCCCTTCAGATCGAAACCGTTGCTCAGTCCGCCGACGGTAATCGTGTTTGAGCCTTCCTTGAGCGGGAGGAGGAGCGGCGTGGAGAGGATGATCCCCTTGTGCGTATCACGTTGGTAGAGGGTGTGCACGTTTTGCGTGTCGCCGTTGACTACGACACTGCTTATGCGTCGGAGCTGCCAAGACCCGCCGATGCGGTCAGGAGAGCCGCCAGCTGAAGATGGGATTAGCCAAACCACGGAGCATGTAGGTAAAAATGTGGGTGCTTACGCTGATCTCCAAAGCCCATGTCGTCGATGTCTTGGATGACTGTCAGTCAAATTCTCGGAGAACGGGCACGAACAGCTTACTCTCATAATAGAAGGAGACCCATTGGTCCTTCCCGGTGCCTTCGACACCCTCAAACGTCACGGTGCTATCGTTGCCGTAGATTCCTGTCACTATCGTTCCCTGGCTGGCGAAATTCTACCCAGGCTCAGTATTGTTCGCCCCGGCGCATGCGTCTTCATTGTACTCACCGCCTCCTGCTTGAAAGCGCTTCCACTCGTGCTAGCATCCACTCCGTAGTATGCGGTTCCTTCGACAGGACTCCACTCTCCAGATTTGCTGTGCGTTCGGTTCAGCCATAGAGTCACATGATCCGTACCGCAGGCACTTACACATCCAAGTCGTACACGTCATGCCACTCTATTTCAAGTGTCTTTTTCTCGTCATCGATGTTGAGGGGAAGCCAGATGTACCGGCTCTCCCAAAGAGAGTTACTGTCCCACTTTTTGCCACCTGTTGTCAGGAAACGGAAAGAGAGAAACTGAATTCGTCAGGAATCGCTTTGACTCACCTGATCACCGAGATAAAGATAGGTGGTTTTATTTTCTCCAACAATGCGCAACGAAAAGCCTGATTGAGAGCTGAAAGTCCGCGTGTTCAGCGGCGCCACGATGAAAGGCTGTGACCAGGGACCGGCGAGCGAATCCGCGCGGAAAGCCACCACATCTGCCAATTGTTCTCGTCAGTCCTCGCGCGCATCGCAAACAGAAAGAACGGTAGCGGAAAGGGCAAGTCGAGAGCGTACTGTTTGGACGGTACCCCGTCTTGTGGCTCATCAGCGCGTAGTAGCTCTTCTCCGTCTGCACGATGGTCGGGGCCTCGAGGTCGAACTTGTCCCAGCGATGGACGACGTCCGCCAGGTCGGTGATGTCGTCGTTGAAGGTGGTGAGGTACACGTCGCGGCCCTCCTTGCTGTCGCCGTTGGAGTAGAGCGCGTAGGTGCGGCCGTCCTTGTAGTCGGTGAACATGCCGAAGTCCTGCGACCAGTTGCCGAGCGGCGCGGTGGCGTTGACGAAGGTGTAGGGCCCCGCGATCGTGTCGGCCGTCGCGAAGCCTTGCAGCAGCCAGCCGTACGTTGAGTTGTCGGCATGCCACCACATCTGGTAAGGGTAAGCCGGGGTTCGTCAAGGAGAGGCCGGGGAGTGGGCGTATACTCACGTGGTACTGGTTCAGGCTCTCGCTATACGCGACCTTGGGCCGTTGGATGATGTGCTCGGGCGAGATGTACGGGTGGCCTTCGATGGGTGCTGAGTGCCCGCATGCGTGTTAGATCCATGTACGCCGGTTTTTCTTCTCTTTTGTAGTTCTTTTTGGCTTTTCTCACGCGCTTCAGTGAAAAAAAAAAAAGAAAAAAAAACTTACACAGCGCAAGACCCTCATACGTCCAGGTGGCCAGGTCCTCGGAGCTATACACGGTTACGCCTCCGCCTTCCTCTTGCTCTTCGATCTTGTACTCTCCGAACCAGTAGAACTTCCCCGTCTCCGGCTCGACGGTGATGCCGCCGGCGTGCGCATTGATCAGGTTCCCATCTGTGTCGTGCCATCGCCCGCCGGGTACGATGTACTTTGCATGAGCAACCACAGCCGCGAACAGCACGGAGAACAAAGCTTCAACCCGCATGGTGGTCTGCGACGACGGGGATAGGGGTGGTGGTGCAGGGGAGGTATCCACCCGGCGACTGGACTTATAAAAAGCGAAGCAGGCCAAGCCAATTGCGGCGAGTGTTCGCCCGAGCAATTGAACGATATTCCGCCATGAAATCCGCGCTGCTCGTGCTTGCATCGCGGTTCGGCCGTCTTTACCCCGTGAGGCAGGTCGTTTGTCCTCGCCCAGGCCACGGTCCCCGCAATTCTGGTTTCCCCGCAATCCCGCTGCGCGGCATGCCCGGTGCAAACGATGACGACGGTGATGCAAGGGACGGTTTCTTCCCTGGTTCCAGCGTTGCGGGGCTCATGGTGGTGTTGGTGCTTCTCGGCCAACTTCTTGGTCGAGAAACTGGAGCTTTTTCTCCCGCCAGATGGATTTTTGGATGGCCGCTGAAGTTTGGAAGCCAAGGCCTGTTACTCAAAGAGGCTTCTCTCCGCGCTTTGCTGGATCGCTTGGTGGCTCGCCCGCCAAGGCGTCAACCGAGCCCGCTTATACGCCATGTGTCGTCGCTTGCGTCTTTGGGCCTGCGCGGAACTGTCAGTCATGCCATCTCGTACGAGCCTCGAGAGCAAGAACCGAATTCTGCGTGGAAAAATCAGTAGCCACGGTTTGTTGGGAAAAATGTAGTTGCGAACCCACGCATTTATCCATATCAACGCGCCCAAACAATTGCTCTTTTCTGGTGACAAGTCTATCGACTGACAGAGCGCGTCCACGCTGAAAGCGAAATAGAGATATAGGATCTCCATACAGACAGTGCGGTTCGCAGAGAGGCAGCTGCACTCACGATTCTCGGTTATTGGACTAATTTTTAACGCATTGCAGGGCTCAGCAGGGTCCACGGCAAACTTAAAGCTGACCTGGCTATTTTGTGGAACCCTCTCCACGTCATGCCAGTTATTGGTAAGAACAGGTGACCTCTTTATGACCTCGTCAAAACTTCAGAAAGCTCCGTACACGATTGATTTTATCTGATAGGCCAAAGAACCGAATGTCATAGTGCGTGAAGACTTTGAACACTTCTCTCACCCGTACATTCTTATCACGCGGCATCAGGTGCATAAATAAGCCTTGTTCAAAGCCGTGCCGGTTGTGGGTGATCTGAATGGAGGAAAGTTAGAGCAGTGCTGGATATGTATACGCTGACGTTCCATTATCATCACCATCGGTCGGGATGAGCGTATTGTTGATGATACTTGACGAAGCGTGATTTATTCTAATAGTCGTCCAAAGTACCCCAGATAGCCTATCCAGGCTCTTCAGTCCGCAGCAGCATCATTTACCGCGAGTGCAGTGTTTCTACCACCCCGTAGTCCTCTTATTTATCCGGGGACGCGGCTCGCCGTATGCTTGTCAAAGACGTGGTCATTGCCATGCGTAATGCAATAGTCCTTCTATCTACGTCATCGTTGTCTCTCCTTGTGGCCAGATTAGTAACGTGGGCAAGACTAATCCAGTATTATCCCACCAACCTTAGTCGCAACCAGATCTCATTATTATTTCAAAAACTAGCTTGAAGAAACCCAACTAGAATGCGTAGCTTGCTGATCCTTCCGTCATCAATCCAGGAGTCTGGAATTATTAGGGTCCGAGCGAGACGTCGGTTCGGCCACACTCGCCGAGCACTATCGATATTGACTGCTATCCGCGGAGAAGCTGGTTGCCGTCTCTCAAGCTGCACTGCGCCACCATCGAATACTACAGTAACAAGCTAGCCTTCAAGAATCAGGTCGAGCACGGCGACGCTCATCAAAATCAGCTGCGACGTACGTCACCGCGCCACGGCCACGGCCATCAACATGTTCATCGACACCGTCCTTAGAAAATTTACAAAAAGAAAAAAATATTGGTTTTCTTAACCCTGATCTATAATTGTTGTCGTTAGCCATGAGGTGAAATTTGGGCATTGCGCATGGTACTATGCGGAGGGACTAGCCCCGAAGGCGAATGTAACAGCAGCTGTTGGGATTGTAAGCAGGGCAAGTTGGTAGACAGGACCAGGGTACAACGAAACCATCGAGCAGTGATCTGAAGTTTGCCGTCGAAAACGGATCCTATCGTGCTGACTTACTCGTATAGGTTGCCCGCGGGATCGAACACTACTACCTATCCCTTTGTACTCCGCAATCACGTGTTTCCATAAGAGGGATAGCGTGCAATGTTACAGGCATCAGAGTGCTACGCAACAAATGTACCTTGCGTTCCAGCTAGTGTTAGCAGGGTCTCAGTTTGAAACGTCAAGCACTGTTGGACTTGATAGCAGCAATAATGACGGGAGTTGTTCCCCAAAGGATTTTTGAGTTCCATACGGGATTACGATCATCGCGGATCGAGTCAAGGTAAATTGTGGGGTAAATACGGCATGTCTGAAACGTTGGCACAAGTTGAGAGACTTTTTTAAACCTTTTTACGATATTTGATTATCCAGGTGTGAGAACCTTGTCTTCTGGCTATTCATCTCTCAAAATACGTCCTCTCTCAGTGTGTATCTCCGATCTCGCAACTCTATCTATATTACACATGTCGCTCTGTGGCAACATCGAAACATCCCAGTTGACCCAAGCAGTGCCGATGGAGCACTTCCTAAAGACACCGACTGGGACCGATCGCCAGGACCGTCGCGGCGTGGTGGGCTGCCGCCCCCTCGGACCGGCGCCAAATCCCCGCGTAGACCTCTTCACAAAAAACCGGAACTTTTCCCAACGAATGCACCGTTGCTGCGGAATGATCGGTAGGAGAGTGGAAGTGGAAGCAGGAGCTTGTGGATGCACAGCAACCGGCAGGCTTCTGAAGCAGTCGACTTCATGCCTCTCTCAAAGAAGGTACGCCAAGCGGACACGCATCGCGGCCAGCGCTGTCGAGGCGGTTTGCGGAGTATGAGTGATAAAAAAAGGTTTGGAGTGTAGAGCGGGCGGGAAAGACTGAAGGAGACGATTAGCATCTATATTCATCGACGTTGCAGACAGGATGTGTACTCACAATCTCGCGACACTCTTCTGCTTTCAGCGTTTACCACCAGTTGGCAGCGATGTTGTCCTGGACGACGGCGAGCCTCCAGATCTCAACCAAAGGTCCCTCCTTGCCGCTGAGGGGGTCGTGCTTGGGGCAGAAGACCTTGCTGATGTTCTTCTGGAGCTGCTTCATCTCCTTGGGGTTGAAGGCCCTGGGCTGGCAGCTGTCGCGCTTTCCGCTCTTCTAGATGGGATGTTAGTACTGATGATTGTCGCATGCTCAAGTGATGAACGTACCTCGGGAAGGAAGGTGACGTATTCGTAGTTCTCGGCGTTGACAACGCAGTGGCTGACACCGGCCTGTTGGGCGTTGTTGTCAGCAATGATTCGGTGGTCTGGGAAAGAAGTAGAGGCTTACGGGATAGACGATGATGTCGCCGGCGGAGAGGTAGATCATCATGCCGGGGGGAGGACCGTACTGAGAGCCGCCAACCAGCAGCTGGCACCGGCCCCTGACGATGGCGTGCATCTCGTGCATGGAGGAGTTGAACAGAGGGGTCTTGTTGACCTCGGAGTGGCCGTCAGGGTGCCAGCGGTTGCGCTGGATGATGTTGCGAAGCTCGCCGATGGCCATGGTGGTGGAGAAGGCGGAGCGGTAGACCAGAACGGGCATGACATTGTTGGGCGAGTCCGAGGTGGGCTCGAAGCGGTAGAACTCGGGCTCTTGGGGGGTGGAGTCGGCCATTGTGAGAGACATGGTGATGCAAAGCTGGTGTTGGAGATGTTCTCGGAACGGAAGTCGTGTTTAGAGGAGAGAGGAGCCAAGCGGACTGGTGCTGATGGTGCAGCTAAACCTTCGCGGCCGAGAGCTTATAAGAAAGCAGACTCGGGAAGCGCCGGCTTCACGCCAGTGGAGGGCCATGCGGTTCCGCTCTGCCGATCCGGCGTTATCAGCGTGCCATGTTTCTCTACGCCGGAAGGGGCTTGGTGTGTCGAGGACTGGCTGCTTGCCCACGTGGGAATCTAAGCCAACCGCCCGCTAAAAGCGTGTGTCCCCTGACGGCGTCTGTCTCCCACGTGGCCAAATAAGGTTCACCCGTGTGATGGCGGCTCTGGGCTGTAATTCCACGAACCGGACGACGTAGCGGAGGGGCGGCGCGCAGCTAGCAGGCCCTTACGGCCTCGAATAGGGCGGAGGCCGGCGGCGCCGTTTTAGGCCAGGTTTCGTGGACGGCGGACCAGCGGAGGCGTCGCAGGCGCGGGCGACTACGGGCGATTAGGCAAGGTGGGCGTTATATTTGCATTCGAGAGTCGTGCCAGAGGCCGCGGAGACGCGCCCGGCGCGCGCACAGAGCCGCTGCTCCCCCTTGCGCCCGGCAAATAGGAAACACGAGCCTGGTCGCTTAAGCCGCACGCGGAGAGCGTGTTGCATCTAGCAGATCTGCCCAGCTAGCAGTAGGCGCTGCAGAACACCGTGTGTTTGTGGCCTGATGGCGGCACGGGCCAGAGGGATTGGGTGACACCACTGGCGCGGTCCCTGGCCGGCCCGGTGATTGTTGCTGCATCGTGGGTTGACGCAACGAGCGGCGCAGACGTGTTGCAGGTGTTGCGGTTCTCGCGCATGCAGGGTCGTCGCTTCCTCAGCGATCGCGGAGTGAGTGGGTTGCCCAAACGAGACTCCCGCCCGGGCGTCGGCAGATCCGAGCAGATCACCTCCGCAGCCCGCTGCATCTCTGCACCTCTGCACCTCTGCCGCTCTGCCGGAGCCCAGCCCCGTCTCCTCCGCCTCCATCTCGCATCTCGTCGGAGCTCGCATCGCGGCCTGCAGAAATCCCGCGCCCTCGCCGCACGTTCCCGGTCGCGCTGTGCCGCACGACTTCAGCCATCGCCTGCACTGACTCGACGGCAGCTGTGTACGTACCGTTGCTTTCTCCGAGCCCCCCCGAGCTCGAACCCTAATCTGCCTCAGCCCGCCAGGCCCGCCGCGGGACGAGCAGCGAGGGTGCTGCGTGCCCTACGATCCCTCGTCGCCCACGAGGGCAGCCGTTCGATCGACATGACTCTGGCGGAGGCGGCCCGAGGGACTCACCGCGTGGCAGCCATGTCGCGCTAGCAGTGCCCCTTGGCCACTATCCTGCTTCAGTCCACGCCGACGCGCGAACGCTGCTGCTCGAAGGAATGGGTCCCACACGATAGCGCTCGCAAAGGCTGAGAAGTAGCCTTGCGTCAGTGGCCGCCGCGGCCACTCCGCGCCGTAGCACATCGTCGATTTGCTTTGCGCGCCGCCGAGACTAGACACACGTGCTAACACGCTCGCCCTCCCCGCGCCTCAGGTGAGCTGCCTCGTGGCCTTGGTGCTGCCGCGATGACGCCGCCGCCAGATTCGCACGCCACTTTTTCCCTCCCTTGCCTGACTCGGCCGTGTGCAAGCGCCAGGACACCGCTTGCGCCCATCACTGCTCGAGAACGCTGGAGAATACGCCTCGAGCGGCCAAGGGGTCCCACAGCCACCACACGTGGTCCACTGGCCGCCGTCTTTCCCTTGGCCACGAGCCTTCCAGAACTTTTGGGAAGAGAACACCAGAGGGCGTCTGTCATTGCGGCTGATCAGCGCTGCTCCGGCATCCACGAGCGTTGGCAGCAAGTGATCGACTACTCCTCGCTGAACCCCGAACGCCCCTGACGTCGCCACGGTCATAGCGCCGTTCTGTTCACCGCGCAAATGTCCTTCGAGAAGAGCGGCTCGCTCGCGGTAACCCAAGTTCCTGCTCCAAAAGGATTCCTGCGCATAGACAACGTGCCTATCCCGATCCGTCAGCTACAAGCGAGAACAAACCCACACCTCAGCTATGTATTTTATTGCTACAAGCACAGCTGTTCTGCACCCTGCCCAGATCTGGGCCTGAAGCCCCGCTCTCAGAACTTCCCCTCTCAGCGGCATCTGCGGCATCTGCGGTATCTGCGGCACATCCTCCACACACTGCAGGCCTGATGTCCCGCGGCCAGAGCTCTCCGAACCGTCGCAGGGATTGTAACAGACAACCACATTATGCTCACGGGCGCATTGGCCCTTCCTTCACAAGCATTGTGCCTTTGCGGACCGGAGGGAGTGTGAAAATGATCAGTGCTTCGAAGTTAAGGCGAGAACCTCGACCCACCCGTCACCGGTGGGGGTTCCCCCTCCGCCGCGGCTCCGCTTCCCAAAGTCCGCTGGCACCGCGGCTACGATATTGCGGTTCGGCAATCTTCGCGAATTGTACCCACTCACAGATCGAAGTCGGCCGTGTGGCTGGGTGCAAAAAGTAAAAAATGAATGTAAGGAAGCAAAAAAAAAAAATCCGAACCGAACAACGTGTCTGTGTGTTGCTTGGATACTGCTTACCCGCCCCGATCGGACCATGCATCTGATGGGGATTTTTGTTTTCAGGATCTAGGCCCCGAGCCTAGCCCCCAACGGGTCATGGCTGTGGCTGACTTGAGATCGCGGCTTGCAGGAGCATATGCAAGGGAAGGATGGAATTACGCGCGCACGGACGATATCGGTCAAGCCGCCCAAAACGCTTGGTTGCGGGCGATCCCGGGCGCATGTGTGGTACGGGTAGGTACGTACCTCGTGGGGCTTACCAATGGTGGCGCTGGGCTGGCAGCAGTCAACCAAGATTCGAAGAGAGAGGACGTGGAGCGGAAAAGGCATGTTGGGACACGGGCAGGTATCAGTGGGATGAAAGCCGATGATTGTTGGGGAGGGGAATGACAGGACTCGACTACCATGGGTGAAAGGAAGAAGGACGGAAAGGGAAGTACCGGGGAGGTTTCAGCTTTCTGCACTGCGCGCAACAGATCCTCCACTCTCCATGGCGCTGGGCGTGCGGCCGGCCGCGTGGCTGCACAGTCCATTTCCACCGCTCGAGCCGTGATTGCATGGCGGGTGATCTTACACTTTCGCGCTTGCGGCGCGTTGCGTGGCTCATGGCGAGTCAAGACATCCGGCTGGTGGCCCCGCCCTTAGTGCCTTCGAGGCCACAGTGCTTATGTCGGGCCCGAGAGCATGGGAGATCGCCAGTCGGAAGGCCAGCTGCAGATGGAGTGAATAAGGTCGTACTTCGGCGCGCGTGTGTGTGCTCGTCATGCTGTTCGATAGCCTCTGGGACTTGTGCTGGCGTCGACTTTGACGACACGCTGCGGGCCGTCGCTGAAGGGGTCAAGTGCAGTGGGTCACTCTCCAGAAAGAGGGATTCAAGCGGTGAACGACATCGAGATAGCCAAGCTCCCCTCCTGTGTTGAGTCGGTCACCCAAGACCAGAAAATTCCTCGTCTTGACGTTCAAGGGGCATCACGTTGAGCTTCTCTGGAGCAGAGTTCATCAAAACATGGCTTGCGCGCAACATTCCGCCCGCGGCATACAGTCTACCCGATGTTGCTGGCTTGGAATGATGGACTACAGGGGCGTACCGTGGTTCTTTCGTTGAAGTGTCAACTGCGCATGTTGAGTGCGGTTCCGAAGCTTATCGCTTAACCAGACTGATATATTCGACCCACAATCCGCTGCAACTTTGCGGAGCCGGATGTGTTTTGCTTTTTGCTAATCCTGCAACTTCAGATCCGGATTCCCTGTCTTTGCCTTATTTGCTCTCCACCTGTAGTATTCCCCGGCCGTCACTACAGGGTACTTCATCGGATTCTCCTGGCTGACGCAGGTCGACACCGGTTCCAGCAGCTTGTTTCGATCGAACCCAAAGAAAAACGGTGCCGAGTATCTCTCCTTTCCGCTCTTGTTGATTACCCTGTGCACAGTAGACACAAAGTAGTCGTTTGTTTGCCGCATGAAGCAGTCTCCGATATTCACCACAAACGACCCAGGCACCGGCCTCGCCTTGATCCACCTACCTGCCTTGTTGAGAACCTCGAGACCCCCTGAATCATCCTGCGAAACGATTGTCCAGCACTCGAAGTCCGTATGGGCTCCGAGCCCGGCCTGATCATCGGCCGAAGCGTCCTGCGCAGGATAATGAAGGATACGCATCCCAGCCTCTGGCCGAGTGACATACTGGTCAAAGGAGTCCTCAGGGAGGTGAAGGGCAAGGGCAAAGGTCTTGGTCATCTTACGCGAGAGCTTCAGCAGCTGCGCGTAGTAGCCGAGCAGGCCTTCCTTGAAGCCTGGTGGGTTGGATGGCCAGATGCTGATGGACTTCTCATCGCTGGTCGCGGCATCCGTATCGGCGGACGGCTCGTAAGACCAGTTGAAGGCCTCGCTCAAATCTACAAGTGTTAGAGATTTGGCTGCCCAAAGTCAATTGGGGGGGAAATGGTTACCGTTTCGCTTCAGTGAGTTGCGGTTGTATGCCTTCATCGGATGGTAGCCCACAAACTCGTTTGGCACCAGTCCCGTCCACACCTCCATCTTCTTCTCTTCCTCCATTGCGAAGAAGCGCTTCGCTTGCCGAAACGCCTCTTCTGCATAGCTCGGGTTAAGGCCCTGCTTCAATCAGGATAAGAACCACCACGCTGGATGAGTGACGCTCACATGACCAACAATGTAGAAGAAACCAATGCGGTGGGCCGCTTCTCTCACTTTCTCGGCTACGGTGCGACGATCGTCCAGGCTGTCGCTGTAGATCCCCGAGACGTCGATGATGGGGATCTCATCCGCGTCCACGGACTCATTTGTTTCGAAACGGTAGACCTGGCCATTTTGGAGGCGCAACGTCCTCAGTGGTTCTGTCTCACTCTGCACTTCGGACATGGTATCGTTCCTTGAGACTGGCAAAAAGTCGCCGGTCAGCACCTCACGCGGGGTTGAGGCAGCTTTTATCAGGAGAGAAGCAGTACCTACCCCACTGCTCGGCGATAGGGTGCCGATCGCGCGGGTGGTCGAAACCTGTGCCGAAAACGTCCTTTTTCACCCTCCACCGTTGACGAAGTAGCAGCGTGTGATACTTTTGCAACTGTCCGATGAGAGGCTCGGTGCATGCGAAATTGAAGGAGGACAGTGGTCGTCACTGCTCCGTCCTGGAGGACGCTGTCGCGGAAGGACTGCTTGGCGACGCAGTTTCGAATATCGTATTTCTCTTGTCGAACTTGGCAAGAAGACACAATGAATTATCGAAATGACCTCATGCAGGATGCAATGCAGAGGACGTTATCCGTTTTCCTTGTCCATGATTCCAGAGCGGATCATTGCGCTTTGATCAATAGCAAAGATTGCAAGAGCCTACACAATTGCAAGACTCGCACTTGAATACTCCTGTAGTCTGTAATGGCATACTTTTCTGCAGTGGAAACCATAAAAGTAGAGGGAAAAGTACAACGAAAGGGGGTGTTGCGCAATAGGCATACCCACATGGACTTACTTGGCTTGCCGAGACCTGACGCCAGCTCCACCCCAAAGTTTGAATTACTCCAACGCATCACTTGTTCTCAGACAATAAACCATCTTTTGTTTTTCTTTTGATTTGCAAGCTTCGCTGTGTCATGGAAACCAGGCCGGTCTGCCCAAGCAGTAACAGGCTCTCTCTTTTCAACCTTCTTTGGCTGTAGGGTATTTCCGCTCAGCCTCGCTTCAGTGCGGTTCCCGGTGATGCGTGATGGCGGATGTGGAGTTGCGGGAGAGAGGGAGCAATGGGAGTAAGCTTACTACACCGACAGGAAAGAAGGACATGGTTGGTAGTGGTTGTGAGAAGGATGGTACGCTAGACGATATGTCCGGGTCTGTGGGGGATGCGAGGCTGGAGGGTGATGTTGGAACGCTGATGGTGGCTGTGGAGGCGTATTTGTCGTGAAAGAACACGAGACTGTGACTAGTGTGGACGGAAAGCGTGGAAATTGTATGCATCCGCATCCTTGTCACATTACAAAACGGAAAGGCAAAGTTGATTGCATTAGCGCTGAAAATATCTTCTGAGAATCGTTTACGAGTGGTGATCCTCATTGGACAAGACTGGTGGCATAGCCACTGGATGATGAGCTGGCATTCGGTCAAAAATAGACTTGAACGGAGAAGCGAATATTTGTCACCGGGTAGACCAAGGGTTTCGTTGTATTTCCTCTTGTTTCAGTAGCTGACCGCGGAAAGAGTTACGATGACCATCTCACAAATGCAGACTCCCAATGACGTTCGTCGAGTGCCAATTTCAGGTCGTGCCACACCCTCGCTATATTTAGTGGTGGTTGAGAGGCAAACATCGGAATGAACTGTAGCTTGCGGAGTATAAGAAGATGGAACCTGAACATACCCACAGTGTTCTGGTCAGCTGCATCACATCCACTGAACTGCGCAGGCAAGAAAGATGGTCGCCGGTGGTCTTCGCTCCACTGCGTTCCTAATTTGGAAGAATCCTCGCTTGGGCAGGGTACCACGAGCACGCATCGAGGGCTGCAATATGCTGGGGTAAGTGGCTCCTCTGCGAGAGACAGTACCCGTACACTGATCGTCGCATAGTGTCCTCGCAACCACTCTCTTCGCCACCCTCATCTTCACCCTTTTCCTCTTCAATACCCTGAACCAACCCACTCTCATCCCGACCGCCAGCCCCACAACCATCACCAACACCCCAAACTTCTCCCTCGCCTCCCTCTACGCCCTCCAAACCCGCGTCTTCGACCAAACCCTCTCCCTCACCCCCGTCATCAACTCCAGCCTCCTCAGCCCCTCGATCCGCGGCCGCGTCGACATAACCCGCACCTTCACCGGCATCGAGCTCAACACCGAGTACCTCTTCTCGCTCTTCGCGCAGCTGAACCGCACCCGCGCCTTCACCCTCCTCGGCATCCCCACCAGCTACACCGTCACCCACTTCGCCGGCTACCCCCTGCCTCCCCCCTCCCCTTCTTCCTCTTCCTCCTCCTCGCACCCCTCCTCCCCCGCCCACCCCTCCGCCGTCGCCGCCTCCGCCATCCTCATGAACTTCACCTCCCCCACCTTCTGGCACGCCCCCTTCACGCTCGAGATCCACACCTGGACGCTCTTCGACTCCGCCGGCCGCGTCCTGCAATACGACGCCACCTTCCGGCACTGGGCGCACTTCCTCGCCGCATCGCTCGCCCGCGTCGCGCGCACGCATTTCGGGGGCGACGCGTCGGCCGCCATGGCGCACGCGCGCTCCGGGCTGGCGCGCGAGATCTGCGCGGCGCACGAGGCGCATTGCGTTGGGGTCGACGGCGAAGACGGCGACGACGATGATGATGGGAACAGGCAGTATGCGAGCGAGGGGGAGTGCGTGGCGTTTCTGCGGGAGGAGGTGAGGTTTGGCGGGCCGGAAGAGATGGGGGCGGATACGTTGTTGTGCCGGATGGTGCATGGGCCGATGGTGGAGCTGAGGCCCGGGGTGCATTGCGCGCATGTGGGGAGGGGCGGGGGGGACATGTGCAATGATGGGTTGGGGTACGGGGAGAGGATCGATCAGGGGTTTTGGGAGTGGCCGTGGGTCGGACCGGGCGTGGGAGGGGGGGAGGGGCAGGTGAGGGGTAGGTG